GTTTAGTCCTGGTTTAGTCCTGGTTTAGTCCTGGTTTAGTCCTGGTTTAGTCTGGTCTGGTTTAGTTCCTGGTTTAGTCCCTGGTTTAGTCCTGGTTTAGTTCTGGTTTAGTTCTGGTTTAGTTCTGGTTTAGTCTGGTTTAGTCCTGGTTTAGTCCTGGTTTAGTTCTGGTTTAGTCCTGGTTTAGTCCTGGTTTAGTTCTGGTTTAGTCTGGTTTTAGTCTGGTTTAGTCCTGGTCTGGTTTAGTCTGGTTTAGTCCTGGTTTAGTTGGTTTCCTGGTTTAGTCCTGGTTTAGTCCTGGTTTAGTCCTGGTTTAGCTGGTTTAGTCCTGGTTTTAGTCTGGTTTAGTCCTGGTTTAGTTCTGGTTTAGGGTTTAGGTTTAGTCCTGGTTTAAGTCCTGGTTTAGTCTGGTTTAGTCCTGGTTTAGTTCCTGGTTTAGTTTAGTTTTGGTTTAGTCCTGGTTTAGTTCCTGGTTTAGTCCTGGTTTAGTCCTGGTTTAGTTCTGGTTTAGTTCCTGGTTTAGTCCTGGTTTAGTCTGGTCCTGGTTTAGTTCTGGTTTAGTCCTGGTTTAGTCCTGGTTTAGTTCTGGTTTAGTCCTGGTTTAGTTTTTAGTCCTGGTTTAGTCTGGTTTAGTCTGGTTTAGTCTGGTTTAGTAGTCCTGGTTTAGTCCTCTGGTTTAGTCCTGGTTTAGTTCTGGTTAGTCCTGGTTTAGTCCTGGTTTAGTTCTGGTTTAGTCCTGGTTTAGTCTGGTTTAGTCCTGGTTTAGTTCTGGTTTAGTCCTGGTTTAGTCCTGGTTTAGTTGGTTAGTTCTGGTTTAGTCCTGGTTTAGTCCTGGTTTAGTCCTGGTTTAGTCCTGGTTTTAGTCCTCCTGGTTTGGTCCTGGTTTAGTCCTGGTTTAGTTCTGGTTTAGTCCTGGTTTAGTCCTGGTTTAGTAGTTCCTGGTTTAGTTCTGGTTTAGTTAGTCCTGGTTTAGTCCTGGTTTAGTCCTGGTTTAGTTCTGGTTTAGTCCTGGTTTAGTCCTGGTTTAGTTTCCTGGTTTAGTTCTGGTTTAGTCTGGTTTAGTCTGGTTTAGTCCTGGTTTAGTCCTGGTTTAGTCCTGGTCTGGTTTAGTCCTGGTTTAGTCCTGGTTTAGTTCTGGTTTAGTTTCTGGTTTAGTCCTGGTTTAGTCCTGGTTTAGTCCCTGGTTTAGTTCTGGTTTAGTTCTGGTTTAGTCTGGTTTAGTCCTGGTTTAGTTCCTGGTTTAGTTCTGGTTTAGTTTAGTCCTGGTTTAGTCCTGGTTTAGTCTGGTTTAGTCCTGGTTTAGTTCTGGTTTAGTCCTGGTTTAGTCCTGTTGGTTTAGTTCTGGTTTAGTTCCTGGTTTAGTCCTGGTTTAGTCCTGGTTTAGTCCTGGTTTAGTTTAGTTCCTGGTTTAGTCCTGGTTTAGTCCTGGTTTAGTTCTGGTTTAGTCCTGGTCTGGTTTAGTCCTGGTTTAGTTCTGGTTTAGTCCTGGTTTAGTCCTGGTTTAGTCCTGGTTTAGTCCTGGTTTAGACCTGGTTTAGTCCTGGTCTAGACCTGGTTTAGTTCTGGTTTAGTTCTGGTCTAGTCCTGGTTTAGTCCTGGTTTAGACCTGGTTTAGTCCTGGTCTGGACCTGGTTTAGTCCTGGTTTAGTCCTGGTTTAGTTCTGGTTTAGTCCTGGTTTAGTTCTGGTTTAGTCCTGGTTTAGTTCTGGTTTAGTCCTGGTTTAGTCCTGGTTTAGTTCTGGTTTAGTTCCTGGTTTAGTTCTGGTTTAGTTCTGGTTTAGTCCTGGTTAGTTCCTGGTTTAGTTTCTGGTTTAGTCCTGGTTTAGTCCTGGTTTAGTTCTGGTTTAGTCCTGGTTTAGTTAGTCCTGGTTTAGTTGGTTCTGGTTTAGTCCTGGTTTAGTCTGGTTTAGTTCTGGTTTAGTTTCTGGTTTAGTTCTGGTTTTAGTAGTCCTGGTTTAGTCCTGGTTTAGTTCTGGTTTAGTCCTGGTTTAGTCCTGGTTTAGTTTCTGGTTTAGTTCTGGTTTAGTCCTGGTTTAGTCTGGTTTAGTCTGGTTTAGTTCTGGTTTAGTCTGGTTTAGTCTGGTTTAGTTCTGGTTTAGTCCTGGTTTAGTCCTGGTTTAGTCCTGGTTTAGTTCTGGTTTAGTCCTGGTTTAGTCCTGGTTTAGTTCTGGTTTAGTTCTGGTTTAGTTCTGGTTTAGTTCTGGTTTAGTCCTGGTTTAGTCTGGTTTTTCTGGTTTAGTTCTGGTTTAGTCCTGGTTTAGTTCTGGTTTAGTCCTGGTTTAGTTTAGTTGGTTCTGGTTTAGTCCTGGTTTAGTTCTGGTTTAGTTCTGGTTTTAGTTCTGGTTTAGTCCTGGTTTAGTTCTGGTTTAGTTTCTGGTTTAGTCCTGGTTTAGTTCTGGTTTAGTTGGTTTAGTTCTGGTTTAGTTCTGGTTAGTCCTGGTTTAGTCCTGGTTTAGTTCTGGTTTAGTTCTGGTTTAGTCCTGGTTTAGTAGTTTCTGGTTTAGTCCTGGTTTAGTTCTGGTTTAGTTCTGGTTTAGTCCTGGTTTAGTTCTGGTTTAGTTCTGTTTAGTCCTGGTTTAGTCCTGGTTTAGTTCCTGGTTTAGTTCTGGTTTAGTCCTGGTTTAGTTCTGGTTTAGTTCTGGTTTAGTTCTGGTTTAGTCCTGGTTTAGTTCTGGTTTAGTTCTGGTTTAGTCCTGGTTTAGTCCTGGTTTAGTCCTGGTTTAGTTCTGGTTTAGTTCTGGTTTAGTTCTGGTTTAGTCCTGGTTTAGTTCTGGTTTAGTTCTGGTTTAGTCCTGGTTTAGTCCTGGTTTAGTTCTGGTTTAGTTCTGGTTTAATTCATTATCAGTTTTTTCATTTTGGTTTTGGAGAAAAATAATGAAGAAAATCGTTTTTTGTTTTTTGTTTTTTTTTTTTTTTCTTATTTTTGTTTTTATTTTGAAAAACGACACAGAGTAAACGACAACTACACGACCGAAGCCACAGAAGTACTACAAATACTACTACTACTATACGTGTACTACTACGAAGAGTATTATTACTGACCCCAGTGAATAAAGAAGATGAACATACTACAAATACTACAAATACTACAAATACTACAAATACTACATCTGGAGAAGGACGGGGACGATGGGGGACGGAGACGGAGGACGAGGAGAGACGAGGACGAGACGGAGGACGATGGAGACGGAGGACGATGGAGACGGAGGAGACGGAGGACGTGGAGGACGGACGGAGGACGGAGGACGGAGGAGGACGACGAGGACGGAGGACGAGGACGAGGACGGAGACGGAGGACGAGGACGGAGGACGAGGACGGAGGAGACGGAGACGGAGACGGAGACGGAGGACGGAGGATGAGACGAGGACGATGGAGACGGAGGACGATGGAGACGGAGGACGGAGGACGGAGGACGGGGGACGAGGACGGACGGAGGAGACAGAGGACGGAGACGGAGACGGGGATGGGGGACGGGGACGACGAGGGGGACGGGGGACGGGGGAGGGACGGGACGGGGACGGGGACGGGGGACGGGGGGACGGGGACGGGGGACGGGGGGACGGGGGGGGACGGGGGGACGGGGGGACGGGGGACGGGGGACGGGGGACGGGGACGGGGGGACGGGGACGGGGGGGACGGGGGGGACGGGGGACGGGGGACGGGGACGGGGGACGGGGGACGGGGGACGGGGGACGGGGGGGACGGGGGGGGGACGGGGGGACGGGGACGGGGACGGGGGACGGGGGGACGGGGGACGGGGACGGGGACGGGGACGGGGGACGGGGGGGACGGGGACGCAGCAGTGGGACGCTGGGCTCAGTTGATCCAGTGGTAGAAGATGATGAAGAGGAAGAGGCCGGTGCATCCGGAGTAAACGGTGAGAAAGACTCTGTTGATGCTGCAGATCCGGACGCTCCAGTATCCGGGCTCCTGCTCCGCGGCGCCGCCCAGAGCCTCGGACAGAACCGCGCTCAGGTGCCTCAGCTCCCGCGCCAACGTGTCCATGTCCGAGCCCCCGCCCCCCGCCGGGCGCCCCCTGCCGCTCTACACCAGAACAACACCAGAGAGGAACTGTGAGGAGAACATCTCAACTCCAACACCTGAGAACATCTGAACTAAAACACCTGAGAACATCTGAACTAAAACACCTGAGAACATCTGAACTAAAACACCTGAGAACATCTGAACTAAAACACCTGAGAACATCTGAACTAAAACACCTGAGAACATCTGAACTAAAACACCTGAGAACATCTGAACTCCAACACCTGAGAACATCTGAACTAACTGAGAACATCTGAACTAAAACACCTGAGAACATCTGAACAACACCTGAAAACTGAAAAAACACCTGAGAACATCTGAACTAAAACACCTGAGAACATCTGAACTAAAACACCTGAGAACATCTGAACTCTGAACTAAAACACCTGAGAACATCTGAACTAAAACACCTGAGAACATCTGAACTAAAACACCTGAGAACATCTGAACTAAAACACTGAGAACATCTGAACTAAAACACCTGAGAACATCTGAACAAAACACCTGAGAACATCTGAACTAAAACACCTGAGAACATCTGAACTCCAACACCTGAGAACATCTGAACTAAAACACCTGAGAACATCTGAACTAAAACACCTGAGAACATCTGAACTAAAACACCTGAGAACATCTGAACTAAAACACCTGAGAACATCTGAACTAAAACACCTGAGAACATCTGAACTAAAACACCTGAGAACATCTGAACTAAAACACCTGAGAACATCTGAACTAAAACACCTGAGAACATCTGAACTAAAACACCTGAGAACATCTGAACTAAACACCTGAGAACATCTGAACTAAAACACCTGAGAACATCTGAACTAAAACACCTGAGAACATCTGAACTGAAAACACCTGAGAAACATCTGAACTAAAAAACACCTGAGAACATCTGAACTAAAAACACCTGAGAACATCTGAACTAAAACACCTGAGAACATCTGAACTAAAACACCTGAGAACATCTGAACTGAGAACATCTGAACTCCAACACCTGAGAACATCTGAACTCCAACACCTGAGAAACATGAAACTAAAAAACACCTGAGAACATCTGAAACTAAAACACCTGAGAACATCTGAACTAAAACACCTGAGAACATCTGAACTAAAACACCTGAGAACATCTGAACTAAAACACCTGAGAACATCTGAACTAAAACACCTGAGAACATCTGAACTAAACACCTGAAACATCTGAACTGAAAGAGACATCTGAACTAAAACACCTGAGAACATCTGAACTAAAACACCTGAGAACATCTGAACTCTGAAACACCTGAGAACATCTGAACTAAAACACCTGAGAACACATCATCTGAACTAAAACACTGAGAACATCTGAACTAAAACACCTGAGAACATCTGAACTAAAAACACCTGAGAACATCTGAACTAAAACACCTGAGAACATCTGAACTAAAACACCTGAGAACATCTGAACTAAAACACCTGAGAACATCTGAACTCCAACACCTGAGAACATCTGAACTAAAACACCTGAGAACATCTGAACTAAAACACCTGAGAACATCTGAACTAAAACACCTGAGAACATCTGAACTCAAACACCTGAGAACATCTGAACTAAAACACCTGAGAACATCTCAACTCCAACACCTGAGAACATCTGAACTAAAACACCTGAGAACATCTGAACTAAAACACCTGAGAAACATCTGAACTCCAACACCTGAGAACATCTGAACTAAAACACCTGAGAACATCTGAACTAAAACACCTGAGAACATCTGAACTAAAACACCTGAGAACATCTGAACTAAAACACCTGAGAACATCTGAACTAAAACACCTGAGAACATCTGAACTAAAACACCTGAGAACATCTGAACTCCAACACCTGAGAACATCTGAACTAAAACACCTGAGAACATCTGAACTAAAACACCTGAGAACATCTGAACTAAAACACCTGAGAACATCTGAACTAAAACACCTGAGAACATCTGAACTAAAACACCTGAGAACATCTGAACTAAACACTGAGAACATCTGAACTAAAACACCTGAGAACATCTGAACTAAAACACCTGAGAACATCTGAACTCAAACACCTGAGAACATCTGAACTAAAACACCTGAGAACATCTGAACTAAAACACCTGAGAACATCTGAACTAAAACACCTGAGAACACATCACTTCTGTTTTTCAGATCAAACCTAAAAATCTCATCTGTTTCATTTTGTTGAATTAAACGTGAAACACAAACACACAAACACAGACACACACACACACACACACACACACACACACACACACACACACACACACACACACACACACACACACACACACACACACAGACACACACACACACACACACACACACACACACACACACACACACACACTCACCTCTGTTTCCTCTGATGATTCTTCAGACGTATCCAGACGAAGAAATGAAAAACAACTGCACTTCAGCTCTGAGGAGAAACAGAAAAACATCGAGTGTGAAACACAGAGTGTGAAACATCAGTGTGAAACACAGAGTGTGAAACACAGAGTGTGAAACACAGAGTGTGAAACATCCAGAGTGAAACACAGAGTGTGAAAAACAGAGTGTGAAACTGTGCCAGAGTCTGGACCTTGGGGCGTGTGGTGTTGAACCGTTTGTCTGTCTCCTCCTGAGGTCAGTGTGACCTGGACCTGAGCTTCAGGACGTTTACACACACAGTGTGACCTGGACCTGAGCTTCAGGACGTTTACACACACAGTGTGACCTGGACCTGAGCTTCAGGACGTTTACACACACAGTGTGACGTGTCTTTACCGTTGTCGTGTTTTTTTTTTTCCTCCTTTTCTTTTTTCTTCTGGTCTCGTTCCAGGAGGAACATCACACAGATGGTCTCCAGAAGACTGATCTTCAACAGCACGAACACCCCGATACAGAAGAGCGCTGAGGGGCAGAGGGCAGAGGTCAGAGGAGTGCTGAGGGTCAGAGGGGTCAGATGGGGTCGGGGGGGTCAGATGGGGTCAGAGGGGGACAGGAGGGGGGTCGGGGGGTCAGGGGGGTCAGATGGGGTCGGGGGGGTCAGAGGGGTCAGATGGGGTCAGGGGGTCAGATGGGGTCGGGGGGGTCAGATGGGGTCGGGGGGGTCAGAGGGGTCAGAGGGGTCAGAGGGGGGTCGGGGGTCAGGGGGTCGGGGGGGTCAGAGGTCAGATGGGGTCAGAGGGGTCAGGGGGGTCAGGGGGTCAGGGGGGGGGGGTCGGGGGGTCAGATGGGGTCAGATGGGGGGGGCAGGGGTCAGGGGGGGGGTCAGAGGGGTCAGATGGGGTCGGGGGTCAGGGGGGTCAGATGGGGTCGGGGGGTCAGAGGGGTCAGAGGGAGACAGGAGGGGGGTCGGGGGGGGTCAGAGGGGTCAGGGGGGGTCAGAGGGGGTCAGATGGGGTCGGGGGGGTCAGGGGGGTCAGATGGGGTCGGGGGAGGGGGGTCAGAGGGTCGGGGGTCAGAGGGGTCAGAGGGAGTCAGGAGGGGGGTCGGGGGGTCAGAGGGGGTCGGGGGGTCAGGGGGGTCAGATGGGGTCAGGGGGTCAGGTCGGGGGGTCAGGAGGGGGTCAGAGGGTCAGAGGGGTCAGAAGAGCGTGTGGTGTTACTGATGAGGGGGATGTAGCTGGAGGAGGACGGCAGGATCTCGTTGAGGAGCAGCTGGAGGACGGTGACCGCGAGGAGGATGGTGATTTTGAAGCTGAGTTTGTCGCCCCCTGTGTCCGACATGAGGAACGACGCAAAGTCCAGCGACAGGAAGAAGAGCACCGGGAGGATGAAGTTCACCACGTAGAGAACCGAGCGCCGCCGGATCGTGAACTGGAACACACGGGGTCAGAGGGCAAAGGTCACTCGCTGCTCGAACACAAACTTCACATGAACAGATTTAAGATTCTACACAAAAATATCAAGATGATCACGATTATTTTGGTCAATATTGAAATCAAGATTATCCAAACGATAATTTTTTTGTTACACGATGCATTTATTCAGTATTTCTCTCTCAAAAAGAAAAAAAAAAACACTTTTATTTGTGCAAAACGTTCAAGAAAAACTTTCAGAAATTGAAGATAAATATTGTTTACAAATCTGAAGCTGAGAGCAGTTTTATGATTTATAAAACATAAAATGAATAAAATGAAATTTTGAACATGAAATAAAGCAGAAAAACATAAATGTCTCCAAAATAAACTGTTCTGTTTATATTAAAAAAAAAAAAACTTTGTAAAGCTTTAGGGCGACTGACACCAGGAGCCTGTTCACACTGAAACAAATCACAGTATCTGAATCGATCTGTGTCACACTCGTCGTCTCTGTTTCCTCAGTTCTTCTCTGTCCACAACTTTAACACATTTATTTACATTTTACACAAACTAAACTTAAACCACATGGTTCATTTGCATAAACTAATGTGTGTGAAAAAAACAGTTGTTTCTTGTGTCTGATGTGGTTCAGTTTGTGTTGGACTAAAGACACAGAGACTCAGTGGAATATGAGTGTTCTCTCTGTGTCAGAGGGGTGTTCTCTCTGTGTGACAGAGGGGTGTTCTCTCTGTGTCAGAGGGGTGTTCTCTCTGTGACAGAGGGGTGTTCTCTCTGTGACAGAGGGGTGTTCTCTCTGTGACAGAGGGGTGTTCTCTCTGTGACAGAGGGGTGTTCTCTCTGTGACAGAGGGGTGTTCTCTCTGTGTCAGAGGGGTGTTCTCTCTGTGTCAGAGACAGAGGGGTGTTTCTCTCTGTGTCAGAGGGGTGTTCTCTCCTGTGACAGAGGGGTGTTCTCTCTGTGTCAGAGGGGTGTTCTCTCTGTGTCAGAGGGGTGTTCTCTCTGTGTGACAGAGGGGTGTGTTCTCTCTGTGTCAGAGGGGTGTTCTCTCTGTGTCGACAGAGGGGTGTTCTCTCTGCGACAGAGGGTGTTCTCTCTGAGAGGGGTGTTCTCTCTGTGAGAGGGTCAGAGGGTGTTTCTCTCTGTGTCAGAGGGGTGTTCTCTCTGCGACAGAGGGGTCAGAGGGGGTGTTCTCTCTGCGTCAGAGGGGTGTTCTCTCTCTGTGACAGAGGGGTCAGAGGGGTGTTCTCTCTGTGTCAGAGGGGTGTTCTCTCTGCGTGTGTTCAGAGGGGTGTTCTCTCTGTGACCAGAGGGGTGTTCTCTCTCTGTGTCAGAGGGGTGTTCTCTCTGTGTCAGAGGGGTGTTCTCTCTGTGTCTGTGTCAGAGGGGTGTTCTCTCTGTGACAGAGGGGTGTTCTCTCTGTGTAGAGAGGGGTGTTCTCTCTGTGTTCAGAGGGGTGTTCTCTCTGTGTGACAGAGGGGTCTCTCTGTGTCAGAGGGGTGTTCTCTCTGTGTCAGAGGGTGTTCTCTCTGTGTCAGAGGGTGTTCTCTCTGTGTCTCTCTGTGACAGAGGGGTGTTCTCTCTGTGTCAGAGGGGTGTTCTCTCTGCAGAGGGGTGTTCTCTGCAGAGGGGTGTTCTCTCTGTGACAGAGGGTGTTCTCTCTGTGTCAGAGGGGTGTTCTCTCTGTGGACAGAGGGGTGTTCTCTCTGTGTCAGAGGGGTGTTCTCTCTGTGTCAGAGGGGTGTTCTCTCTGTACCAGAGGGTGTTCTCTCTGTGTCAGAGGGGTGTTCTCTCTGCGTGTCAGAGGGGTTTCTCTCTGCGACAGAGGGGTGTTCTCTCTCTGTCAGAGGGTTTCTCTCTGAGAGGGTGTTCTCTCTGTGTCAGAGGGTGTTTCTCTCTCTGTGTCAAGAGGGGTGTTCTCTCTGTGTCAGAGGGGTGTTTCTCTCTGTGACTGTGTCAGAGGGGTGTTCTCTCTGTGACAGAGGGGTGTTCTCTCTGTGATCTCTAGAGGGGTGTTGAGAGGGTGTTCTCTCTGTGTGACAGAGGGGTGTTCTCTCTGTGACGAGGGGTGTTCTCTCTTGTGAGGGGTGTTCTCTCTGCAGAGGGGTGTGTCTCTCTGTGACAGAGGGGTGTGTGTTCTCTCTGTGTCAGAGGGGTGTTCTCTCTGTGTCAGAGGGGTGTTCTCTCTGTGTCAGAGGGGTGTTCTCTCTGTGTGACAGAGGGTTCTCTCTCGTGACAGAGGGGTGTTCTCTCTGTGACAGAGGGGTGTTCT